GATAACAATGGAACGATCACTTTCATCACTTCCCTGAGAAGAAACTTGACTCTCTGTATACAATGTATTTACAAGGCTGCGAGAAGGCGCCTTGACTAACCCACTGTTTCTATACATATTTGTGCTTCTGACCACCACATATTAATATGTAAGGTTAGTCCAGAGTAGGATTGTGTACCTGACTCTCATTGATAAAAGACCCTCCTAGTTCTGTTTCTTCAGCTTGTTATGGTTCGTGACATAGAAAGGTCATGAACCATAACATTCCTTTTCCACTATTGAGATGGCATGATTTGAGCTGATTGAGGCTCCTTCCCTCTCCGTTTCTGCAGATTCTATTATTCTTCAGTAAACCCCATATAATATAAAATCCATACTCTTGTGTCGGGTGTGGTATTTTCTCTCTTTCCCCAGGTACCAAACAGGAGCTGGTTCCTGCCAGAGTGAAACACTCCTGTATTTTTACAACAAAATTGGTGAGCCAGCCAGGAGTCAAACCTTGAATCTTCTGATAGTCTATTGTGTTGTCTATTGTGCCACTGTGTCTCTACTTGCATGTGTGAGGCATTATGGCTGGATCCGTTTCAGCAGGGAAACCTTTAGTAAGGAACCTTAGGTGTGCCTGCCTGTTTGGATGTAAGCCCCACTCTAAAGTAGGAAGAGGGAACCACATATCTGTTTATATACCATAATGGGACCTGCCCTTGCTCACTCTGTTTTGTTTCCCAGCCAGCAGCCTGACAAGTAACTAGATCCTTGTTACATTTAGCACCCCAATTCACCAAAGCTTTAACCAGTAAAATTGTGCCCAGGTTTAATCCTTCACAGAATTTGTCCATGTGGTTTATGCATTCTTCCTTCCTTCACCTTTTGCACTTATCTCCACCAGGGCAGCAGCCATATTATAATTGGTTTAAACAAGACAATCCTTAAACTGGCCTTTGGTTATCATGGCAAGTACAACTGCAGGGCATGTGTGGTGGCTGCACAGAAAGGGTTCAATCCATAGTTCTCAGAGCAAACACTTCCCTTGTCTGTGCATAACCCATTGGAGCACATAACCACAGTCTTTACATATAAAGAAAGCACAAAGGTCTGTAATCACAAAAGCTTATGAGTGCAAGGTAATTCTTTTTGCAGACACTGTTGTTGTCCAGGTCCAAATTATGATGCAGAAAACATCCCCTTCACAGGTATTTCTGGCTTTAGGCACTCTTTTCTTAAATACTGCTCAAGAGAACAATAGCAGTCTCTGCAGCACCTTTTTACTTACCCTCTAGCTGTCTCTTCTTATACCTGCCAGCTTGCAGATTTTCTGTACTTTCTGCAATCTCCCCATACTTCTGAGGCTTCTGTGATCATGCCACTTGCATTTCTGTTTGAGAAACCTTGATTAAGACCAGAGGTGGGAAAACGTATTCCTACTGGAGTACACATTCTCTTGGAAGAAACTTGTCGAGGTATGCTGAGCCAAAATAGGTGTAGAGGACTTTAAAAGTGGGTTGAGGCCTGCATATTATGTTGCAAGTTGCTATATGGGAAGGCTACACAAGTCAAAGCATACTAGTGGCTAATTAGCTGTTCATCTGTTGTTTGTAAAAATTTAACATTTTGTGATTGGGTCCTTTTTCTGAGGGGGGCGGACCAAGGGATTCGGCAGGAATAATCGCAGGAGTCGATGTAACAGTCAAAAACGGGTTGGTTTTATTAACTTTTTCATCAAGTAACTCTGGACCAAACGGGTCCGGCAACTCTTCATTCGTCAACAAGTTATATTTCTTAGGTTTTACCCCAGGCATTACATCTTTGGTTCTCACTGTTTCTTCCCCCCAAAACGAGTGATTGCGTTCGGGCTCGCGACCGACGCAGTCAGAACTGAGCAGGAAGTCCTGCAACAAGGATGGACCACTACAGCCCCCTCCAGCCTGGGTAGGAAAGGGCTGGCTCCACCAAGGGTTTCTCTGTCCATCATTGGGCGAGAAGCCGAACCCACTCCCGGTCTCCATCCCCTTGGGAACTCACAGGCTCCGGTTTTGCTTATTTCTTTCGGTAGGGGCAACAGGCCATCTTCCTTCATTAAATTCGGGAAATTCTTTACTAGTGTTGCAATTTTCTCCCTCGCTGCTCCCGTCTCTCTCGTTTGCGTACTCTTCTCTTCCTTTTCCCCTTCTGCCTCTCTCTGTCTCCTCTCCTCCTTTATAACCTCATCCCATCTCCAGTCTCCCGACTCCTCCCCCCAGTCTCTTGTCCTCTCCGCTAGGAACACCTCTATAGCTTTATTAGCGCCCCCTTCTTCATCGTCTAGTTTGATCAATTTGCCCACAGCGCATCCTTCACTTCCTTCTTCTTTAGATGTCTGTGAGGACGGCTCACTTTCCTTCCTTTGCTCACACATTTGTAAGTCCTTTTAGAAGGTCTTTGTAAGAGTCACCTGATCTGTTTCTTCCCTTAGGGAACTCAGTTGTTGTGTTTATCATAGCAGATGAAATAGCAGCTTGCCAGTGATACTTAAAAACACCAATTTTTTCATCTGCTCTCCATTGGGCATTCTCAGTAGCACACTTTTTTTTCTTGGCAAGCCTGGCCATTATGTTGTATCTGAAGCATCCCATTTCTCTTTGGAGAAACAATTTGGGCCTGATAGGGCAAGCTTCCTGGAGTTTCTTTCTTGTGTTGCTGTGCAGTTCACATCTATGAAGACCATTTCAGGAATTGTGGTAGAGCTGGGTGTGTTTAGTCTTGCGGAGAAAAGACTGAGTAGGCATTGGACTTTTAGATTGCTGGGACTTCAACCCCCAGAATTTACCAGAAATCCCAAACCCAGCCAAAATCTGGAGATTTCAAAGTCCTTACATGAGGAGCCTCATAGTGCAGTGGTTAAACTGCTGTACTGCAGCCAAAACTGAGCTCATGACCCAGGGTTCAATCCCAGGTAGCCGGCTCAAGGTTGACTCAGCCTTCTATCCTTCCGAGGTCAGTAAAATGAGTACCCAGCTTGCTGGGGTGGGGGCAATGTGTAGCTTGCATAATTAACTTGTAAACCACCCTGAGAGTGCTTGAAGCACTATAGGGTGGTATATAAGCAGCACACTTTGCTTTGCTTACAGGCGTTTTCAGTTACACAAAGTTGGGGAATGGAGGCTTTGTCAGCCACTATGTGCCTGTGAAGAAGAATGAGAAAATGAGTGGTGTTGACTAAGCTTCATGTAAGACACAGGCAATTGAAGGACTGGTCATTTTTTAAGAGGCAGCCTGTATAGAGCCTAATAGGCAGAGACTACAAGTTTCCTAACCCCATGCAGCTCCCACATAATTTAGCCATTGTATCATTTCCTGTTTCTCCCTCACAGGAACATAATGGCTGACAGAGTATCTGTGAGTAACTGAAAACTCCTGCAAGGGCTTTGATTTCTTGGCTAAAGCCCCTGGAATTCTGGTTGGAGGAATTCTTGGTGAATTCTGTATATTGAAGTCTGAAATTCCTGTACCTAAGACTAAGAGATGGTGTGATGCCCATCCTCACATATTTGAAGGGTTGTCATGTGAACAATGGAGCAAGCTTGTTTTATGCAGCTTTTAGGCTAAGATCTGAAGAGATTGAGTTAAATTACAAGAAAGGAGATTTCAACTCAACATAAGGTGGAACTTCCTAACAGTAAGAGCTGTTTGACTATGGAATAAACTGACTCATAGGGTGATAATTCCCAGCACTGAAGATGTTTAAACAGAGGATAGGTGATCACCTGTCAGGGATGTTTTAGGCAGGGATTACTTGTTTTGGCAGGGGACTGGATGATTCTTGCTGTCCCTATTCTTCTGTGATACATTATATAATTCTGTATTCTTGGTCTGATAAACATTGGTCTCTGGGAAGGAGATCATTAGCATCATAACCGGCCTTGGTGCTGAGTAATGTCAGTATTCTTTTGGAGCAGATTCACAGAGTTTAATAGTATGTACATTTGCCAGAAGAACAGAAGGAATATGCCAGTCAAATGGAAAGTAGAGACATGCTGGAAAACATAGTCGTAAACATGATAGTCCAAGGGAGAGATTTGTGCTACATTAGATTTTAGATACATTTTAGATCGTGTTCATTGAACAAGCTTGATATGTGCAGATTCTGCCATGCGTGGGTATTACTGCACTGCTCTGTGGGCATGGAAGAGAAAAGTACATGTTGGATGGGAAATACAGTGATGTGGGTGATTACTGTATATGTTTGCTACATACATTTGTGCTCCTTGTTGCAATCCTCATTGCTAGAGACAAGTTGCTTTTCTATAATAGAAGCAGATTTTGTAATGTCATCAGCCACCAAAGCTGTAAGTGTGTAATAGTTGGAATTGTAATCTTGAAGCCAGAGAATACAAACATTTTTATATATGAGTAGTGTTCAGCAGCTTTGGAATACATATATATTGTTGCTTCACAGCATGGTAGTCATGACTTCAGAGAGCCCCCTCCCCCCAATTTTTGGAAGTTTGTTCTCATCAGAGTGTGAAACTTACAGTACTAATTACAAATAATAGCTACTTTCAATTAATTCCTTTTTTTCCTTTAACTAAAGTAGGACTATATTGCATTACAGTTGTAACTTCACAAGGCATAATTTTGCTGTTTAATTGTAACTTAGTTATTCATATACAGTACTTATTTAGGTGTAACCTTATCAAATGGTGGAGGAAAAAGACGTTATGGTTCAAGTGCTGGCTTGTATCTACCTGGTGGTGCTCTTTTATAGATGTTGAAGTAACAGTGGGGTGGATAGGAAGAAGAAAACGCACATCAATGCTTTTCAGCATTCATATGTTGATACATTTGTGATTTTTAAAAGCAGCACTTCTATTTTTAAGAGGCGGGAAAGTAAAGTTATACTTTTACAAATTGCAAGTATTATAATAACTAATTTAAAAAATATATATAACTGCAACTAAATATTTTTCAAAAGTAACTGTCTTAAGCTTTGCCCCTAACTCTGTATTTCTTTTTCTCAAAAGGTTTTTCTCAAGAGTGATCGAGTTGCCAGAATGGTCCACAGTGGAGGGTGCTCAGCAAATGACTTCAGAGATGTTTTTAAGAAGAACATAGAAAAAAGGGTCCGAAGTTTGCCTGAAATAGATGGATTAAGCAAAGAGACTGTCCTGAGTTCTTGGATAGCTAAATTTGATGCCATTTATAGAGGAGAGGAGGACTTGTACAAACAGCCCAATAGAATGGCCCTAAGTGCTGTGTCAGAACTTATTCTGAGCAAAGAACAACTTTATGAAATGTTTCAACAGATCCTAGGGATTAAGAAGTTGGAGCACCAACTAATCTACAATGCCTGCCAAGTAAGTAGTTCATTTTAGGTTGATTATACATACAGTGGGGTCTTGACTTAAGAACGACTTGAGTTAAGAACATTTTGACTTAAGAACAGCTCTCATAGGAAAATATTGACTTGACTTAAATACTTAGATTTGAGTTAAGAACTGAAAAAAAACCACGTGGGAGGCAGGGAAAGTGCAAAATTTGAACTTTCAGTTAACTGTTGGCCAGTGAAAAGGGTGCCTGTCTGCTTCCTCACTCCTCCCAGCGTTTAGAGAGTGGATTGGAAGTCTTCAGACTGCCTGGTACTGTCTGGACTGTATTTTCCCTGCCTTCCCTGAACCTTTCTTGACCTAAGAAAAAAAGAAACAAAATATCCCCCTCTAGTGGTCAAAGGCGGAATAGCAGCTTCCCATTAGTTTCTATGGGCGGAAAAGAGCAGATACGGATCAAATGGTTTTCAATGCATTCCTATGGGAAATGCAGATTTGACCTGAGACCTTTTTGACTTGAGAACCGCCTTCCAATACGGATTAAGTTCTCAAGTCAAGACCCCACTGTAGATTATTCCATTCCTTGCTGACAATTGTTTGCCTGTTTCACTTCATCTTAATGCCACTCTTTATGATATAATTGAGAGTACTTCTAAAGGCAAAACTAAGCATGTTTGTTAAGTGATCCATATCTAAGGGAAATAACATTTAGCCTTCTTTGCTAGACAAGCCATGTAGAAAAAAAATATGCTTCCCTTGCCAGAGTGTTAGACAGAAAAAAAATACTTTCTGGATTGCCACTGGATTCTGGGAGCTGCGGTCCAAAAAAGTTACTTTTCCAAGCTCTAGTTCTGTGGAATGTGCAGAGAACTTGTGGGACAGATGGTTCTTTGTCCTTTTGTTGGGCTTTTAAAGAAAGCACAAAAAAGCACTTTCACTGTTGTTAACAATAAGGAGGTTGCTCCCTTCTCCTCTCTTCCTTTCTCAAATGCCTAACATATGGGAAAAAAGAAGGCATCCATCTTGTCTGTCCTGTAGTTATCTGGCATGGTTACCTTCCTGTAAACCTGGTTTATGCTGGGAATGAAGGCTGCTTCCTTGCTGCTCCCTGAACTTCAGAGTCTCGTCCATCGGTTTCCAAGGAATATTGCAGATCTGGAAGTTAGGAGTACATTTTACACGAAAAGGCAATATAGTAGACAGTTGGAGTGTCAGGTTCACTGCACAACTGCCTGTATCTCAGTGTTTGCCTTGTTATCCCAGTCCATCATTAGTGCTGATCTGTTAAGGGTAAACTGTACCTCTCTATTAGATCTTGTAGTCATTTGCATTTTCTGTAATATTGAGACACTCGCACTGCTGCCTTTTATGTTGCTTGATCTTTTGACCTCCTGTATAAGTATTTTTCCTTCTGTTTGTAATAATGTGACCTGTGCGTATGTATGTATATAGACAGACAAGTGTTCCAGCCGTTAAGGAGAATAGTCTGTAAACCTGAAGAAGCTGTCTCAGGCCCTTAATCACGTATGTCACAATTTATTTATTAGACTTTATGTTGTTGCAAAACTCTTTTTCTAAAGTAGCACTGTGAAAGATTCTGAAAGAGGGGTGTATGTGTGGGTCATGAGAGAGAGAGGGAAAAATCCCATCTAGTTAACTGTTTTGCTACTAAAACAGGGAAGTTGGATCCTATTTGTTGTTGTTTAGTCATTATGTCTGACTCTTCATGACCCCATGGACCAGAGCATGCTAGGCCCTCCTATCTTCCACTGCCTCCCAGAGTTGGGTCAATTCATGTTGGTAGCTTCGATGACACTGTCCATCCATCTCATCCTCTGTCATCCCCTTCTCCTCTTGCCCTCACAGTTTCCCAACATCAGGGTCTTTTCCAGGGAGTACAGTATTCTCTTCTCGTGAGATGGGCAAAGTATTGGAGCCTCAGCTTAAGGATCTGTCCGTCCAGTGAGCACTCAGGGTTGATTTCCTTCAAAATGGATAGCTTTGTTCTCTTTGCAGT